CCACCGTAGGTAGGGTGATCTTGTTGTTCAAGTCTACACCACAGCCAACGCCAAAGGTACCTGCTCCGAAACAAATGTAAAAGGTTTTCACCATTCGCTGCAGAGGTGATGTCAGCAGCATGCCCTGCACCACGTGTTTACAGCTGCCTGTGCCTGCATAGTGCAGTTGCTCGCGGGGTTCCGGGATGTTTTCTCCCACAGCCGTGCTTTTGGGACCAATTCTACTCGTTGTAAGCTGCGCCGTGCCCCTCTGGCGGAAAACTTGGTGGTCGTGGTTGCTCCTCCTGGTCTAGTGCATCTCCACTTGGCCTCACTCTTCCAGCAATGCTGGGCCCGGCTGGCACTCCCTTTCACCGAAAGTATCCCCTCAATTCCTCCCAGGACTGTGCTGGACATCCTCCCGCTTGTTCTCTACGACCCACGTCGGCAGAGCGAGTGGTAACATCGAGGAGTTTCCGGGCAAGCCAAGGCTGAGAAGAGGCGGGAAAACAGAGATCTGCCAGCGTGGTGTGGAAATGATGCCGCAGCAGGACAGACTGTTTGTCCGTCAACAGCTGCTTCTTGTGATTGGGGGACTCTTGGGCTGGTCTGCCAGACTGCCGGTGCTCCTGCCAGCAGATATTGTACGTTTCTTTTTCCTTGTTCTTGTTACAGCTTGTCGTGATTTTTTCGAAATAGCCACCCGCATTGTTACTGCTCCTGCAGCCTGTCTCGTCTTGTCCTAGACCTAACCTTCTGCTCTGCTCTCATGATGGTTGTCCATCCTTGCTAGACCACGGCATTCTTCGGTTCGTGAGCTTCTGCTTAGGGTTTTGAAATCTCCCATCTGTGTGCTACAAGTTGGGCATCAGTCGCTCTCATAATTCCCAAGCAGCACGAGTAGGCAACAGGAAGACCCTCTCGTCAGTGCATGATCTTACTTATCTTTCTGTGCACATTCATCCCGAGTACACTATTGGCAATGGAGTGCGCGTCCGCCAAAGTTATCGGTCTCCAAATCCGCTCACCCATCACCTCCCCCCTGTCGTCGTCACGGCAATGTCGGGTCTCGAACAAAGCTCCTCCCAGCGACGTCGCCATGGCCGCTATAACCCCGGTGAGCCATCTCGGCTGGGGATGCTCGCAAGACCACCACCTATCCGCCGTTAGACCCGCAGCGGCTTCCACCCAGCGGTTTCTTGAACCCGACCGCGTCACAGAGCGTCCGAGATCCTCTCAAGCCGCGCGCTTCGCTGTCGACTCACCGTGCTCTCCAATGAGCGTACTCGAGAAGGACGACGTCAGCATGGCGTGGAACGAGCCGTTTTTCCTAGCAGAGGCGTCCGTGGGTCTCGTCGAGTGCAACAGCCGAGGGTGCAGACCCGTCTTCAGACAGCCATGGTCGCCAGAGGTTACTGACTCCGGTAGAAGCGGCACGGACGGACATGCGTCGTCGGGTCCTTGCTCATCCTTGGATGGGGCTGAGATTCAGGGCAGGGCGGTTGCGTTTCGACAGCGTCTGGAGAAGAACGCTGAGAGCAGCAAAGGGCGGCCGAGCTTGCCGACGGAGTTTGCAGAATTTGTGAACGAGGTGTGGGTGGAGACCGTTACCGCAGAAAAATACTTCCGCGACGCTATGCGAAGATCGCCGTACGACGTGCGACTTCTGACGAGCTTCGCACAGTTCTCTTGGCAACGACTCCACAATAAGACCCAGGCAGAGGATCTGTTTCAGAAGGCGTTGAACGAATCTCCTGACAACTCAGATGCTCTTGCGAGCTATGCCCTTTTTCTTTGGGAAAGTGAAAGCGAGAGCGAAGGGGAAATTGACAAACCACTGGATGCGCGGCACCAAACCCGCAAGCGTTAATATTAATTACCATACCGCTTGCCTCTTAGCTGAGTGTAGTAGCGTTGAGGGTTTTGCAAGGTTTAAGTGCTCGTGTTGACAAAACGTGGGCAATACGTTGTGACATGATTGTGTTTTTTTAATGACATAAACTCCACCACCTCATCCAGATACGGTGAAGTCTCATGTTGCTCTTCTGAGTTGCGAAGTGTTCAAGTTTTCACCAAACGTTCCCCAAAATCAGAGACACCATTCGTCATACAGAAAGGAAGGAAGCGATTAAAGCGACGGGCAACTTTTGGCAGTGTTGGGTTCAGAAGTTCTTTTTTTGAACCAGGCTTGCCAGCGCGAAAGTGCTGGCTGGCGAAAACCAGGATTTCGTGCGGACACTTTCCATCCGCAGTAACAGTTCGCCAGGGTTCTGGGTTTTGGGTGGCAAATGTGCACCGTCGCTTTAAGAAAGACAGAATGTGGCCTGGCCTTACATACCCTATATCAGGTGAAATACTTTTGTTGCACATGATGGCATACGCATATCTTCATGGAAGTACGTGAGCATTTGTACGATGAATGGGTTTTGATTTACACATGCGCTTTCTGGTACTCAATCAAACCACTTCGTTTGGAGTAGAGTACTATTGTGGAGCTGGTTCACACTATTGACCTTTCATACGATCTGTTAGATTGTACATGGTGCAGGGATGTGATACAACAGGGGACGAACAAAGAAATACAATTGCATCAACTTATGCACCCCCCTGGAATTGCATTCGAAATGCTCAACAAATTGTTGGGTTTTGTGTGACTCCTCGAGCAGGGCTCTCTTTTCGTTTTGAGCCACCCTTCCATGTGAGGGTGCCGAAATAAAAAATCGGGTATATGGGTATATGGGTTTTGTTCAAAATGTTTATACGGGATTGACAGCCGAACGCTTCTGCTGATATTGTGTTTTGCTGGTGGTACGCAAAACCTTCGTTTCACGACTTTTCTCTCTGATAACAAGCACGAGCTTAGCCCATGGACTTTGCGATGGTGGCGAACATGCGGGAATCAAGTCCCGTTGTTCTTCATGGCTGTGTATGAAACAGCGAACAAGGACCAGATGTGTTGGTTGACAAAATCGTTAGCCCAGGACAGTCGCCAGATTGTTATCCCTGCAAAAGGAAACTCCTGTTAGTGTGGAAAATATATGCAACTGCTCTTCAATTCGGTCAAATGGCAAGAGATAGACATTACTGAAGAAATGACAAACCGCCCTGTTTTTTATATTTATATTCTATTATGCAGTGGTTTTGACAGCGTATTGCTCTGCGCTCGTGTCGAATTCCCACGGGCAGCTCGTTTTCTAAATACACCATTACAGGGGCAAAAAATATAAACCCGCGAAGGAAAGGCATGCAAACAGGAGACTCATCAATCCTCTAAACACCTTGCCGATTGGTGTTTAGGGTTGATGCTGCTCATGTTAACATGCCATTCCCTTGAGGGTTTATTTTGTTTCCCCCAGAAAATATATTCAAATGTGTATTAAGGGACACAAACTCCCCGTAGGAATTAGGCACGAGCGCAAATCAATGCGCTGTCAAAACCACTGGCAAGCGATGTTAAAGTACTAAAAAGTAGGAAGATTAGTTTTGTCTCCATAGAACTGCACCTAGTCAAACACACACTCACACCCAACAATGGGTTTCTTCTTGTGCTTCTTCGTGAGTGGGGCAACACATAGGGAAAAATGGATGTCTGTGGTTGGGGTGGGGATGGGGAAAGAGAGATGCGGATTGCGATCGAGGGAAGTCTTCTGACATGTTGTGGCTCTAGTCTAAAGTGAAATGCATGGAACAGCGTGGTTGTGTGTGTGTGTGTTGTCACGTTTTATTTTTTCAAATTATTGTCATGTGACAATGGGTTGAGGTTTCACAGGGCCACCCCAAACATTGTCCCACTTGAAGTAATGTACAAAACACATCAGTGTACTCAGACTACGGCCATTGGAGTTGAGAAATTATCCCAGCATCATTAAGATAAAGTACACCTCAGAGGTTCGTCGGGCCGTCAAAGAAGCTGCCAGGTGACCGCGGGCACCAAAAGTAAACCTAACCCTTTGCAGCAGGCAACACAGCTCAACAAGGCAAGGCAAGGCCTGAGGACAAGTGTACGCGAGTCATGTTCGCGCCGCATGGACGCTATCCAATGGCTGCACCCACCGTCCTATCTACGACTTGTCACTCACTGGCTGAAAAAAATATGCCATGGAGGTGAAGCCACGCGCGATTCACTGTACAAGGGTACCCTATCCTAGTCAGGCAGGGTTGATGGTCCGCGTCGCCAGCTCTGTTATGGGCTGCACATTTCATCCACCATTCCGGGGATGATGTTACGTGCAGCCCTGATTGAAGTGTACACATGATGCTAAACCCTTGTGCGCGAATTTTCCGTACGAATTCTAAAAACCTTGCACCCGTGTTTTTTGCGCCAGACAGTTGCACCCCATTTACAAGCCCCTAGAGCAAGTTGCAGTGATTTGTACCAATAATAACCGCAGGAACCGAGGTTTGACTGAAGAGACCGAAGTCAAACTGTCAACGGTGAGTTACAATTGTTTTATAAGCCCTTTTTTGCTAGGTGCGAATTGAGGAAACCTTTGCGAAATCCAGAATCACTTATACGCCCAGAGGGTAAGGCAGGGTCGGGGGCTCAACCGGGCATCATGTGTACACTCAAACCAACCCCCCTCGAATCTCAAGCACCCACACCACACCCTGGAGCTCAGCCAAATATAAAACACATTCAGTGCAAACTTCTCTCCCCCATCCATCGCCCACACATCTGAGGCATCTTTCTCGTCCGTAACAGCCGCGCCGCCGTCGGTAGTACGATTTTGAGGCGCCTAAAAAAATCGTGTCCACTCGGAGATAAACCACGCGTCCACTCTCTCAGAGGCACGCGGCGCGTAAGCGACCATTTTCTGACGAGGATGGCGTCCAGCGGCGGCGGCTTTATTCGCGGCGGCACCCCGCGGCGTGCCTTAGCCCAGAGTCATCATGATCAACTTTCGCTCCTCCTCGCGTTCATTATTGTCTTCTCTTCGTCCAACCATCTCTCCACAAAAGGCGGCGCATTTAGCTGCGGCGCTGACGCGGCTGCCCTGCCAGAGCTCTCGTCCTACTCCAGCATGGCGCTGCTCGATCCGCGCTTCGAGCTCTATTGGAGCACCAACACGAGCGACGCGACCATCCACATGGCGGGGAGGGCGCAGACGGCGGGATGGCTCGCAATAGGCCTTTCCGAATCCGGAGGAATGTTCGGCTCTGGTTTGTTCCACTCCCGTTTTTCGCGCTCATTCCCCGTGCTCGTTCCCCGCGCGCGTTCCCCCCGCTCGTTCGCATTTGTCCGCGTTCTATCCGCTCGTCCGCATTTTTCCGCGTTCTCTCCGCTCGTTCCCGCGCCCCGCGCTCGTTACCTGAGTCAACACTTGGGGCTTTCCCCTATCCGCGACGACCCCTAACGCGGTTCAAAGTTGTTGATTTTTGTCTCTCTCCCTCTCTCCTATTCTGTTGGTTTTGATTGTTTGCTTTTCCCTCTTTTTTCTACGCTGAATCTAATGACAACACCACCGACGTTCTCCATTGATTCATGACGTGTGGGAACAATATAAGCTAATGACGTTACTTTTTGGGACAGTGTCACTCTCAGATGCGGTGGTTGGCGGAGCAAGAGGTATCGGTCCGACTCGATGCCTTATGGGTTGACTCAGAAGTCATTTTCTCTTTGCTTCTCGCTCTGCGATCGCTATGTCACTCTCAGATGTAATGGTGGCGTGGGTGGCGGAGCGCGAGGGGCGCGTGTATGCGACGGATCGGTTCGGGATGAGATGACCTTTGACTCGACCAAAAAGTCATTTTTTAACCTTCTCTCTCTCTCTCTCTCTCTCTCTCTCTCTCTCTCTCTCTCTCTCTCTCTCTCTCTCTCTCTCTCTCTCTCTAACTCTAGATGTAATGCTGGCGTGGGTGGCGGAGCGCGAGGGGCGCGTGTATGCGACGGACCGCTTCGTCTTCAACAAGACGGGGGAAGGCGTCGCATTGGACGACCAGCAGGACTGGCGCGTGCTGGGCGGCAGCCAGACCACGGACCAATCCACGGGCGACACGTGGACCACTGTGCATGTGTGGCGCCAGCTGGACACCGGAGACTGCAACGACCGCCCCATCACAGCTGGCGCGCTGTCATTCGTCATCTGGGCCATGGGTGCGTGGGAAGGGGGGGGGAGGATGGGGATGGGGATGAGGATGGGGAGGGGGACGCGGAAGGGGGGGAGGATGGGGATGAGGATGTGGATGGGGAAGGGGAGGGGGAGGGGGAAGGGGGAAGGGGAGGGGGACGGGGAAGGGGGAAGGGGATGGGGACGGGGACGGGGACGGGGGAGAGGATGAGGAGGGAAAGGCATGGTGAAAGCCTGTGAGGTTCAGAGAAGGGGGGTGGAATATTGGGTAAGTGTGTGTGGAGAAGGGGGGGGGGGGTTGTTGGGGTTGGGGTTGGGTTGTGTGTGTGTGTCTGTCTGTGTTATCTATGCTTCTCAATTTCAACTCCTCGCACCTCCCTATGATATCTCCCACTTTCAGGCACAACCGACGAGCTCGCCTATCACAGCGCGACACGTGGCGCCACCTCACTCGTCCTGCTGCCCGCCCCTGGCCCCTCCATCCTCGACCCAACCACCCCTCCCACCACCACCGCCCAATCCGCTGCTGCCAGCTGGCCCGCCATCACGTCAGCAGGCAAGCTCGCCGCGTATGCCCAGGGGCAGGCGAACGGGCAGAAGAACGGGCAGGCGAAGGGGCAGGGGCAGGGAGTGGTGATGAGCGAGAATGGGCGGTTCAACCTGACAATGGAGAACCACCGCGTTTCCACCAATTACACCACCTACATGTGCAAGGTGCGTCGGGGGCTTCCCCCTTTCCTCCCTCCTCCCTCTCCCTCCCTCTTCCCTCTCCTCTCTTTCCTCCCTCGCCCATTCGCTTCCTCTCCTTCTGTGTCATCTCCTCTCTCTCGCTCCTCTCGCCCCACGTCTCCCTCGCCTCGCCTCCTCCCGTCCTCCCTCTCTTACCTTTCCTCCCTCTCTTACCTTTCCTCCCTCTCTTACCTTTCCTCCCTCTCTTACCTTTCCTCCCTCTCTTACCTTTCCTCCCTCTCTTACCTTTCCTCCCTCTCTTACCTTTCCTCCCTCTCGTACCTTTCCTCCCTCTCGTACCTTTCCTCCCTCTCGTACCTTTCCTCCCTCTCTTACCTTTCCTCCCTCTCTTACCTTTCCTCCCTCTCTTACCTTTCCTCCCTCTCTTACCTTTCCTCCCTCTCTTACCTTTCCTCCCTCTCTTACCTTTCCTCCCTCTCTTACCTTTCCTCCCTCTCTTACCTTTCCTCCCTCTCTTACCTTTCCTCCCTCTCGTACCTTTCCTCCCTCTCGTACCTTTCCTCCCTCTCGTACCTTTCCTCCCTCTCTTACCTTTCCTCCCTCTCGTACCTTTCCTCCCTCTCGTACCTTTCCTCCCTCTCTTACCTTTCCTCCCTCTCTTACCTTTCCTCCCTCTCTTACCTTTCCTCCCTCTCTTACCTTTCCTCCCTCTCTTACCTTTCCTCCCTCTCTTACCTTTCCTCCCTCTCGTACCTTTCCTCCCTCTCTTACCTTTCCTCCCTCTCTTACCTTTCCTCCCTCTCTTACCTTTCCTCCCTCTCTTACCTTTCCTCCCTCTCTTACCTTTCCTCCCTCTCGTACCTTTCCTCCCTCTCGTACCTTTCCTCCCTCTCGTACCTTTCCTCCCTCTCTTACCTTTCCTCCCTCTCGTACCTTTCCTCCCTCTCTTACCTTTCCTCCCTCTCTTACCTTTCCTCCCTCTCGTACCTTTCCTCCCTCTCTTACCTTTCCTCCCTCTCTTACCTTTCCTCCCTCTCTTACCTTTCCTCCCTCTCTTACCTTTCCTCCCTCTCGTACCTTTCCTCCCTCTCTTACCTTTCCTCCCTCTCTTACCTTTCCTCCCTCTCTTACCTTTCCTCCCTCTCTTACCTTTCCTCCCTCTCTTACCTTTCCTCCCTCTCTTACCTTTCCTCCCTCTCGTACCTTTCCTCCCTCTCTTACCTTTCCTCCCTCTCTTACCTTTCCTCCCTCTCTTACCTTTCCTCCCTCTCTTACCTTTCCTCCCTCTCTTACCTTTCCTCCCTCTCGTACCTTTCCTCCCTCTCGTACCTTTCCTCCCTCTCGTACCTTTCCTCCCTCTCTTACCTTTCCTCCCTCTCGTACCTTTCCTCCCTCTCGTACCTTTCCTCCCTCTCTTACCTTTCCTCCCTCTCTTACCTTTCCTCCCTCTCTTACCTTTCCTCCCTCTCTTACCTTTCCTCCCTCTCTTACCTTTCCTCCCTCTCTTACCTTTCCTCCCTCTCGTACCTTTCTCCCTCTCTTACCTTTCCTCCCTCTCTTACCTTTCCTCCCTCTCTTACCTTTCCTCCCTCTCTTACCTTTCCTCCCTCTCTTACCTTTCCTCCCTCTCGTACCTTTCCTCCCTCTCGTACCTTTCCTCCCTCTCGTACCTTTCCTCCCTCTCTTACCTTTCCTCCCTCTCGTACCTTTCCTCCCTCTCTTACCTTTCCTCCCTCTCTTACCTTTCCTCCCTCTCGTACCTTTCCTCCCTCTCTTACCTTTCCTCCCTCTCTTACCTTTCCTCCCTCTCTTACCTTTCCTCCCTCTCTTACCTTTCCTCCCTCTCGTACCTTTCCTCCCTCTCTTACCTTTCCTCCCTCTCGTACCTTTCCTCCCTCTCTTACCTTTCCTCCCTCTCTTACCTTTCCTCCCTCTCTTACCTTTCCTCCCTCTCTTACCTTTCCTCCCTCTCTTACCTTTCCTCCCTCTCTTACCTTTCCTCCCTCTCGTACCTTTCCTCCCTCTCGTACCTTTCCTCCCTCTCGTACCTTTCCTCCCTCTCTTACCTTTCCTCCCTCTCGTACCTTTCCTCCCTCTCGTACCTTTCCTCCCTCTCTTACCTTTCCTCCCTCTCTTACCTTTCCTCCCTCTCTTACCTTTCCTCCCTCTCTTACCTTTCCTCCCTCTCTTACCTTTCCTCCCTCTCTTACCTTTCCTCCCTCTCGTACCTTTCCTCCCTCTCGTACCTTTCCTCCCTCTCGTACCTTTCCTCCCTCTCTTACCTTTCCTCCCTCTCGTACCTTTCCTCCCTCTCGTACCTTTCCTCCCTCTCTTACCTTTCCTCCCTCTCTTACCTTTCCTCCCTCTCTTACCTTTCCTCCCTCTCTTACCTTTCCTCCCTCTCTTACCTTTCCTCCCTCTCTTACCTTTCCTCCCTCTCGTACCTTTCCTCCCTCTCTTACCTTTCCTCCCTCTCTTACCTTTCCTCCCTCTCTTACCTTTCCTCCCTCTCTTACCTTTCCTCCCTCTCTTACCTTTCCTCCCTCTCGTACCTTTCCTCCCTCTCGTACCTTTCCTCCCTCTCGTACCTTTCCTCCCTCTCTTACCTTTCCTCCCTCTCGTACCTTTCCTCCCTCTCTTACCTTTCCTCCCTCTCTTACCTTTCCTCCCTCTCGTACCTTTCCTCCCTCTCTTACCTTTCCTCCCTCTCTTACCTTTCCTCCCTCTCTTACCTTTCCTCCCTCTCTTACCTTTCCTCCCTCTCGTACCTTTCCTCCCTCTCTTACCTTTCCTCCCTCTCTTACCTTTCCTCCCTCTCTTACCTTTCCTCCCTCTCTTACCTTTCCTCCCTCTCTTACCTTTCCTCCCTCTCTTACCTTTCCTCCCTCTCTTACCTTTCCTCCCTCTCGTACCTTTCCTCCCTCTCGTACCTTTCCTCCCTCTCGTACCTTTCCTCCCTCTCTTACCTTTCCTCCCTCTCGTACCTTTCCTCCCTCTCGTACCTTTCCTCCCTCTCTTACCTTTCCTCCCTCTCTTACCTTTCCTCCCTCTCTTACCTTTCCTCCCTCTCTTACCTTTCCTCCCTCTCTTACCTTTCCTCCCTCTCGTACCTTTCCTCCCTCTCTTACCTTTCCTCCCTCTCTTACCTTTCCTCCCTCTCTTACCTTTCCTCCCTCTCTTACCTTTCCTCCCTCTCGTACCTTTCCTCCCTCTCTTACCTTTCCTCCCTCTCGTACCTTTCCTCCCTCTCTTACCTTTCCTCCCTCTCTTACCTTTCCTCCCTCTCTTACCTTTCCTCCCTCTCTTACCTTTCCTCCCTCTCTTACCTTTCCTCCCTCTCGTACCTTTCCTCCCTCTCGTACCTTTCCTCCCTCTCGTACCTTTCCTCCCTCTCGTACCTTTCCTCCCTCTCTTACCTTTCCTCCCTCTCGTACCTTTCCTCCCTCTCGTACCTTTCCTCCCTCTCTTACCTTTCCTCCCTCTCTTACCTTTCCTCCCTCTCTTACCTTTCCTCCCTCTCTTACCTTTCCTCCCTCTCTTACCTTTCCTCCCTCTCTTACCTTTCCTCCCTCTCGTACCTTTCCTCCCTCTCGTACCTTTCCTCCCTCTCGTACCTTTCCTCCCTCTCTTACCTTTCCTCCCTCTCGTACCTTTCCTCCCTCTCGTACCTTTCCTCCCTCTCTTACCTTTCCTCCCTCTCTTACCTTTCCTCCCTCTCTTACCTTTCCTCCCTCTCTTACCTTTCCTCCCTCTCTTACCTTTCCTCCCTCTCTTACCTTTCCTCCCTCTCGTACCTTTCCTCCCTCTCTTACCTTTCCTCCCTCTCTTACCTTTCCTCCCTCTCTTACCTTTCCTCCCTCTCTTACCTTTCCTCCCTCTCTTACCTTTCCTCCCTCTCGTACCTTTCCTCCCTCTCGTACCTTTCCTCCCTCTCGTACCTTTCCTCCCTCTCTTACCTTTCCTCCCTCTCGTACCTTTCCTCCCTCTCTTACCTTTCCTCCCTCTCTTACCTTTCCTCCCTCTCTTACCTTTCCTCCCTCTCGTACCTTTCCTCCCTCTCTTACCTTTCCTCCCTCTCTTACCTTTCCTCCCTCTCTTACCTTTCCTCCCTCTCTTACCTTTCCTCCCTCTCGTACCTTTCCTCCCTCTCTTACCTTTCCTCCCTCTCTTACCTTTCCTCCCTCTCTTACCTTTCCTCCCTCTCTTACCTTTCCTCCCTCTCTTACCTTTCCTCCCTCCGCCAATACCTCCTTCGCCTCCTCATTCTCCCTCTCCTCTCTCCCCCCCCTGTCCTCCCCCGCCCCCACATCTCTTCCCTCTTTTCCCTTCCCCTGTGCTCCTTCTTCCCACTCCTATCTTTCGTGCCTTACCTCTCGCTTCTCTCCCTCTCTTCCGTTTCCTCCCACCCTTTCCTCCATCTCCTTATTTCTTCCCGCTCCTCCCTCTCCATATTTCTTCCCTCTTCTCCCTCTCCTTATCTCTTCCCTCTCCTCCCTCTTTTCCATCTCTTCCCTCCCTCTCCGCGGCCAGACATTCGACCTGCCACTCACCGCCAAGCGACACATCACGCGCTTCGGCGTGCAGATCAACTCGTCGCTGCCCTTCCTCTCCCTCCCCACCCTCCCCAACCTCTCCCCCATCCCCACCCTCCCCCCCCCCTCCCTCCCCACTGTGGCCAGACATTCGACCTGCCACTCACCGCCAATCGACACATCACGCGCTTCGGCGTGCAGATCAACTCGTCGCTGCCCTTCCTCTCCCTCCCCACCCTCCCCAACCTCTCCCCCATCCCCACCCTCCCCCCCCCCCCTCCCTCCCCACTGTGGCCAGACATTCGACCTGCCACTCACCGCCAATCGACACATCACGCGCTTCGGCGTGCAGATCAACTCGTCGCTGCCCTTCCTCTCCCTCCCCACCCACCCTCCCCAACCTCTCCCCCATCCCCACCCTCCCCCCCCCCCCCCCCCCTCCCTCCCCACTGTGGCCAGACATTCGACCTGCCACTCACCGCCAAGCGACACATCACGCGCTTCGGCGTGCAGATCAACTCGTCGCTGCCCTCTGTGCTGCACCACGCGCTGCTCTTTGGCTGCCCCCAGTACGTCCCCCTCTCTCCTCCTCACTTCTACGTCCCCCTCCACTCCTCAAAAGCCCTCTGTGCTGCACCATGCGCTGCTCTTTGGCTGCCACTTCGGCTGCCCCACGTACGTCCCACCTGTACTCACAACTCATACCACTGGTTGCTAACAGTAGAGCTTCTTTCCTCCGCCTCCACCTCTCTTTCTGCCTGCGTCTCTTTCTGCCTGCGTCTACGACCGTCTCTTCTCCCCTTCGCCCTACTCCTCTCCATCGCCCTCCGTCGATTGCCCTTCGCCCTTCGCTCTCTCCTTTCCTCCTCCATCTCTCCCCCCCCCTTTTCCCCTCGTTTATAATCCCTTTACAATAGGTATGCAATATTATTCAAGGCAGCCACTCTCAGCCACGGCAGGGGGTGTATGAGTGCATGCACGTGCCTCTTCCGCATTCCCTCCCTCCCCCGTTTCCGCCCTCTCGTCACCCCCTCCTCTTTTACCCATGGCAGGAAGGAATACAAGGACGTGCCGGCCACACAGGGGACGTACGAGTGCATGCACGAGACATCCTACCGCGAGTTCACAGTTTGCCCTACTTCATCCCCTCCCTCCCCCATCCCTTACCCATAACAGGGATGTATGAGTGCATGCACGAGTCAACGCCCTGCCAGGGCCACACCGTGGGGGTGTGGGGGCTGGGGGCGCGTCCATACTCCTTCCCGTGTGTCAACCAACCAACCCGCACATCTCCCCCACCCCTTTCACACACGGCAGGGAGGACATTTTTGAGTCGACTCAAAAATAGGCACATCTCCCCCACCCCTTTCACACACGGCAGGGAGGACTATAAGGACGTGCCGGCAGCACAGGGGACGTACGAGTGCATGCATGAGACACCCTGCCAGGGCCACACCGTGGGGGTGTGGGGGCTGGGGGCGCGTCCATACTCCTTCCCCCGCGACGTTGGCTTTCCCATCGGCCCTGGATACTACACCAAGTTCGTGCTGCAGGTGGGTAGCTGTGCGGTGTGATTCGGTGCGATGCGGTGCATTGCTTTCGAGCTGCAGTTCGCTGCGGTTTATTCAACAATTGCTGTATGGAGCTTGGTGAAAGCACATGCTCTTGTCCTGCGTGTGTCAGAATCCCCTTGTTCCTCACCCACTCACCCTCTCCCTCTTCTCTTCCCACCTCCCAACCCACATTCACCCAGTTCTCCTTCTCTCGCTCCGCTCCCCTCTCTCGGCCCTCTCCCCTCTCTCGGCCCTCTCCCCTCTCTCGGCCTTCTCCCCTCTCTCCCCGTTCTCCTCTCTCTGGTCCCTCTCCTCTCTCCCCCTTACTCCCCCCCTCGCCCCCTTCTTCCCCAGCGTCCCTTCCCATCCATTACACCAATCCTGACGGATTTTGAGGCACCTAAAAAAACGCCTCCCATCCCATCTTCCTCTCTTGTGCTGCGCTCCCCCTTCTCACCCCCCTTCGTCCCCTGTGTCTCACTCCCTCAGATTCACTACACTAACCCCGACGGCCGTGCTGACATTGTGGACAACAGCGGGATGTTCCTGGAAACTTCCACCCCGGGCAAGCACGATGCGGGTATCATGATGGCTGGCCCTGTCTACTACGGGCTGCTGCTGCAGATCCCACCCGGCCAGGTAGATGACACCTGCCCAGGTCTGGTATCAGCTGGTCAGGTAACACCTGCACAGGTAACACCTCATGAAATAGCTCAACGGACAAGCGAGTCCGCCCAGGGAGCTCGCTTCCCGGGGCAAAAAAAAAAAAACCCTCTAGGAAGGGCATGCCATCCGACAGGGTTTTAGTTTTTTTCTGCCCGCCGGTCAGGTCGACAGTGGTCGATGGTCCGTCGACCGACCGTCGACCTCGTTTCGTGATACATTCCCAATTGTATCAACGGGGATCATGATGGCTGGCCCTGTCTACTACGGGCTGCTGCTGCAGATCCCACCTGGCCAGGTAACACCCGGATGCTATGCCATGCCATTGCCGTGCATGCAGGAGTACGTGTGTCCGACTCACTGCACCAACGCATTGTTCATGCCATGCCATGCCATGCCGTGCCGTGCCGTGCCGTGCCGTGCTGTGCCGTGCCGTGCCGTGCCGTGCCGTGCCGTGCCGTGCCGTGCCGTGCCGTGCCGTGCCGTGCCGTGCCGTGCCGTGCAGTGCCGTGCCGTGCCGTGCCGTGCCGTGCCGTGCCGTGCCGTGCCGTGCCGTGCCGTGCCGAGCCGTGCGGTGCCGTGCCGTGCCGTGCCGTGCCGTGCCGTGCCGTGCCGTGCTGTCCGTGCCGTGCCGTGCCGTGCCGTGCCGTGCCGTGCCGTGCCGTGCCGTGCCGTGCGGTGCGTGCCGTGCCGTGCCGTGCCGTGCCGTGCCGTGCCGTGCCGTGCCGTGCCGTGCTGTGCCGTGCCATGCCATGCCATGCATCCCTGATCTCATCCCCTCCCTCTCCTCCCTTTCCCTCCTCGCCCATCTGCAGCCCTCTTGGAGAACATATGCCCGGGGCGATGCACCAAGGCCGTGTTCTTCCTCATGCTGTCACTTCCCCTCGTACTCTTTTCACCTTGCTCTCCCCTTCATTCCCTTCCTCTCCCCTTCATTCCCTTCCTCTCATTCCCTTCCCCTCTGCTGCAGCCGTCATGGACCCAGGAGAACATCTGCCCCGGGCGATGCACCAAGGCAGTGTTCTACTCTTACCCCATCGCATTCCCCCTCTCTTTTCTCTCCCCCCCTCATCCCCTCGCCCTTCTGCACCATTCATGGACACAGGAAAAGGAAAACATCTTCCTAGGGCGAGGCACCATTGCGGTGTTCATCCCTGCCTGCTTCCACCTCCCCACATACTCTCATAACGTTGCTCTGCCCCTCGTAACGTTGCTCTGCCCCTCGTAACGTTGCTCTGCCCCTCGTAACGTTGCTCTGCCCCTCGTAACGTTGCTCTGCCCCTCGTAACGTTGCTCTGCCCCTCGTAACGTTGCTCTGCCCCTCGTAACGTTGCTCTGCCCCTCGTAACGTTGCTCTGCCCCTCGTAACGTTGCTCTGCCCCTCGTAACGTTGCTCTGCCCCTCGTAACGTTGCTCTGCCCCTCGTAACGTTGCTCTGCCCCTCGTAACGTTGCTCTGCCCCTCGTAACGTTGCTCTGCCCCTCGTAACGTTGCTCTGCCCCTCGTAACGTTGCTCTGCCCCTCGTAACGTTGCTCTGCCCCTCGTAACGTTGCTCTGCCCCTCGTCCTCTTTTCTCTCTGCTCTCCCACATCCCCTCGCCCATCTGCAGCCCTCATGGCCACAGGAGAACATTTTCCTAGGGCGATGCACCAAGGCAATGTTCACCCCTCTTCTCATCCCCTCCTCTCATCCCCTCCCTCTCATCCCCTTCTTTCCTTTATCTCTCTGCAGCCCTCATGGACACAGGAGAACATCTGCCCAGGGCGATGCACCAAGGCCGTGTTCAAGAACGAGTCAGTGAACATCGTTGCTGCCGCCCTGCACCAACACGCTCTGGGCCGCCAGGTACCAACCAGCACACGCAGAGGTAGCAGCACACACGGGTAGCAGCATGGGTAGGTAGGTAGCAGCACGTGCCGGCAGGTTCCTCGTATTCCATGCCCACACAATCAAGAACGAGTCGATGAACATCGTTGCTGCCGCCCTGCACCAACACGCTCTGGGCCGCCAGGTGCCAACACACATGTTTTAACGCATGTTTGGTTGGACATAGCACCCGCCCTGCTCACACTGCTGCTACGCATGCCCACACCACATTTGCGCCATAGCCCCACGCCTCCCTCTTTCCTCCTCATGCCCCACACCCCCGCTGGCCACCGCTCTCACCACCCCATGCCCCACGCCCCCATCTCGCTACCCCATCAGATGTTCACGGACGTGTATCGGGGGATGGTGCCGCCCATTCATGCGTGCCTTGCTCCCCCATGCCCCACGCACCCCTCGCACCTCTCTGAACCCCCCCATCAGATGTTCCCAAACGTGTATCGGGATGGTGCCACGCTCACCACAGTCGCTCGACTGTTGAAGCGCCTCAAAAGTCACACCCCTTGTCCCACGCACCCCTCTCGCTACCCCATCAGATGTTCACGGACGTGTATCGTGATGGTGCCAAGGTCACCACTGTCGCTCGCCTGTTGAAGCGCCTCAAAAGTCACACCCCTTGTCCCACGCCCCGCTCTCCCCATGCCATCAGATGTTCACGGACATATATCCCATGCCGGAGCATCCGCCCATCCATGCGTGCCTTGCTCCCCCGTGCCCCACGCACCCCTCGCACCTCTCTGAACCCCCCATCAGATGTTCACAGATGTGTATCGCGATGGTGCCAAGGTCACCACAGTCGCACGACTCGACTATTAATGAGTGTCCTCCCACCCTTCTCCCCTTGCTTCAGACATCTTTTCCCTGCACTCCTCTCGTCCTCTCTCCTCTCCTTTAACTCTCTCCTCTCTCCTGTCCTCTCTCTCTCTCTCCTTTTTTTATTTCCCTTTCGTCTGCCTTCGGCTCTCTTCTCTCTTTAACTCTCTCCTCTCTCCTCTTTTCTTCTCTTTTTTTACTGTCTTCCGCTCGCTTCTCTCTTCTAACTCTCTCTGCTCTCCTCTCCCCTGTCCACTTTTTCCTCTTGTTCTTCTCCTTTCTTTTGTCTTCTGCTCTCTCCTTTCTCTAACTCTCTCCTTTCTCTCTTTCTCCTCTCTCTCTCCAGTGACTTTGCATCACAGCAGATGATCAACGTACAGCCGCCCTTTGAGCTACAGCCGGGGGATGAGCTGCGCACCAAGTGTGTCTGGGACTCCACCTCCCGCTCCAATGTAAGCCATGGTGGTGAGCGGTGGTGAGTGGTGAACAGCGGTGAAAAGCGGTGCTGCAGTGCAGCCGCCATTCGAGCTGCAACCCGGGGATGAGCTGTGCACCAAGTGTGTGTGGGACTCGCGGTATGTCATGGTGGTGTGTGGTGAGAAACGGTGATAGATTTACCTCACGCCATGACAACCCATGCCATCCCTCCATGCCATCCCACCCCATTCCATCCCACCCCATTCCATCCCACCCCATGCCATCCCACCCCATTCCATCCCACCCCATTCCATCCCACCCCATGCCATCCCACCCCATTCCATCCCACCCCATTCCATCCCACTCCATGCCATCCCTCCATGCCATCCCTTCACATGCCATCCCACGCCATGCCATGCCACCCCGCAGGTGACAATGGGCGGCGAGGCCAGCAACGAGGAGATGTGCATCAGCTTCCTTGTCTACTATCCGGCATATAGAGACAAGCGAGGTGAGGCCCTTTGACACATACAGACAAGCGAGTTGGCATATCTCCCTCCTGTGTCGCCATGTGCTCTCCTGTGTCACCCTGTGTGCTGACATATCCAGTGGAAAGCTCAAGCTCAGGTGTAACTTGCAACCCATGTGTAACTAACTGTGTGTTGTATGTCATGTGCCACCAGAAATGCGCTCATGCGTCGCCATGTGTGCCGACATATCAACCGGAAAGCTCAACCTCGACCCTACCAGCCCCCATCTCATGAGCTTTGCGGTCTGCGGCACTGTATGTTCTCCCTTGCTACGCCTGTTACAGTCGCCCCTTCACGTCTTTCGCTTGCTTTAAGCGTTGCTAGAATCTGAGAATCATGTCAGAAGACCGATAAGCTGAACCTGCAGCCCCAAGCTCACCAACGTTGCTGTCTGCGGCTCGGTGCGTTCTTGCTATGCCCGGTGTGTTCTCACTGTGTTCTTGCTAGGATCGGTGCGTTTGGTGCGTTGTTGCTAGGCTCGGTGCGTTCGCTGTGTTATTGCTAGGCTCGGTGCTTTCTTGTGAGGCTCGGTGCGTTCTCTCTAAGCTTGGTGCGTTCTCTCTAAGCTTGGTGCGATCTTGCTAGGCTAGGCCCGGTGCATTCTCGCTAACTTCGGGCCTTCATTCTGAAAACCAAAGCCTACCTCACCTACGTATCTCTTGGTAAACCCCAAACCCACCCCATGTTTCCTCCACTCCTCCCCTCCCCCTCTCTGCCCCCCTCCTCTCCTCACCTCCCCCTCCCCCCACCAGGGCTCTGAGAGGGAGAGGGTGAAGCTGGGGTTCTCCAAGTGCAACATCAGCTATGGGGAGAGCCAGCCACTCTCTGTGCTGCACGGCTGCCCGAGCGCGTAAGAAAGTTTCTGTTCCTGCTTGCTACTTGGTCCAGTGCCTGTGTCGATGTGCCCCTGTGCCCATGTGCCCATGTGCCCATGTGCCCATGTGCCCATGTGCCCATGTGCCCACGTGCCCATGTGCCCATGTGCCTAGCCCATCTTGCCATCTTCGTCTGCCCATGTGCCATATTTCCATATTCTTGTGTTCCCATAATTCCATGTTCTCATGTTCCCATGATCCCATGATCCCATGTTCCCATGTTCCCATGATCCCATGTTCCCATGTTCCCATGTTCCCATGCACCCATGTGCTCCACAGCACCACGCTCACTCTCGCCGGCATCCCCTCAGAGAGCATCTCAGTACCCATCAACACCACCCCAGACCCACTTGCACCACCCACCAATTGCACCACCAACACCACCACTACCACCGGCACTACCACCGCCACTGCCACCGCCGCCACCACCACCAGCACTGACACCGGTGCTGGCTCTGGGAGCAGCAGTGCTGGGGGTGGTAAAGGAGCAGCAGCACTGCACGGGTCCCATGCTGCTCTGCTGGTAACCGTTGCTTCTGTTGCGATTGCAATCCTACTCTAGCTGTTGAGGGGTTGGCGATAGTTAAGTGAACCTATTTATTTTGTAGCCTGGTTTGGGTTGGGTTGATAGCTGCGCCTGCTTGAGCATGCCTCTTGCTCTGGTCTCGTAGTGCTAAGCTTTCATATGGTATATTATGCTGGGAAGGCTACCGTACGTGTTCGGACCCTGCTGCTTCACAAGTGCGTGCCTTGCTGTGCTGCAATGCCTTAGCATAGTGCATATGTACTGTTTGCTGCTACTACATGCCTTGTTATTGAAAACGGGATGGGTTGCGTGGCAAGCATTTGCATGGACTCTGATCCTCAGACCAGACACAGAAACGCCAAGCTAGTGCCAGTAGGTATCTTGCATATATGAATGCTGGCACTACCCCTTAACTGTTTCACCTCTTTAGAACCTTGTGATTGCACTGACCGCCTTTAGGGTAGCTGCCCTTGCATGATTGCTTAAATATGGTGGTAGAATATGTTCTTTAAACGAATGCTCTCCTCCTGATGAAACTAACTTCTCACCACTGCAAAGTACCGTATGTGCCATCTCGTATGCTAAGAAAGCAAGAGAGCCTTTTCCTTGCACCACCCCCCAAGCCACTGCGCTGCGACCCTACAAGAGAGCCTCGAGATTAGCGCACCGCTCGAACTCAAAGCTCCCATCCAGCGACTCAGCCGCCCCAACTCCTTGAAACCCCCGCCCATCCGACCCCACATAGTACAGCCGCAGATGCCCCCCGCCCAAATCCACCAAACATGGCGATCCCACCGACCATGAATCCCACGCGCACGATTCCCCCACGCCCTTCCCCGCTCCGCTCCCCACCCCCTCCCCTTCCGCCTCCCCCCTGGCTCCTCTGGCTGGCTCAAACACAGGTCCCAGGCATTTCCATCCGCTCATCCCATCCTCCGACTCCGCGAGCCCTATGGCCGTCGATCCGTCCACGGCGACGCCTTCATACAGCATCACGTACTTGCGCGCATCCTCCTTCCCGCCTTTCCCCGCTCCGCTTCCCCCTGCTGACGCGCGCGGGTCGCGCAGCACATACCGGGACGTCACCCCGAGCGCGTCAAACGCGTATTTCCCGTTGCTCCCGGAAAACACCGGCCCAAATTTCACCCATTTCAACCCATCCCGCGACCTCGCGAAACCCACCCTAAATTTCCCCTCTCTCGCCTCGCTTGCCTCGCCCGTCTCACTCGTCTCGCTCGTCTTGTTCCCATTGGCGGATCTATCGAGGGAGTGATAGAACAGTCGGATATCCCCGGCTTCGTGGAAGATGATCTGCGGCGCGCCATGGAACAGCTCGTCCCACTCGCCTTCCGCGCCAACGTCCAGCGCCGCGCCGCTGTGCTGATCCCCCTCGATGCGCGCCCAGTTCCGCCCGTCGTGGCTCATCGCGAGGCCGATGCGCGTCCGAAGCCCCTCGACGATCTCCCCCTCGGTAAAGTCACGCGCAGCGGGCGGTGCTCCGGTGGGTGGTGTGGCTGTAGCGGGGGCGAGGCGCGGGGCAAGCTGGGGGAGGATCCGCGCGGGGATGGGGAGTTCTTCCGCGTTCCCCCCGACGTAGAACATCCACAGGACGCCGCCGCTCGCGCGGACTTTCTGCGACGACATCATCATGACGTCAGACACGCTGACGTGGCGTGTGTCGAAGTTCCACCAGTTGGCGCTGGGCTGAAGGACCATTCCTGGCCCGCCACGTCCCTTGGCGTCAGTTTCCGCCACGCCGCTTCCGCGGCTCCAGTGCAGCCCGTTGGCGGAAACCGCCACCCCGGTCCGCGCGCGGGAGACAGGGGGAACGGGAGCAGGCAGAGACGATGAATTCTCCCCTACCTGCTCGCCATCTGTACGATCGCCGCCCGGATCACTGCTTTCTCCTGACGTGTCATCATGGGTCCACCCCTCGTACCACATGAACCAGCGCTCCTCGTTGTCGCTCGCGAAGCGGCGCACGACGGCCTTCCCCACGCCGCTGCTGTCCCACGACCCCGGCGGGCCCGCGGACAGAACCAGGCCGAGCAGTGAGGATGGCTTCGACGACGGGGCTGACGGAGTTGACGGGATTGACGAAGTTGACGGAGTTGACGACGCTGACGGAGCTGACGGAGGTGAGGATGCGGCTGGAGGCGCAGGGGAAGGTCCGTCTTCATGGGTCGGTGAGGAAGCGGAATTCGGGTCGTTGCCTGTCTGGTTGCCACCAGGTCGACCGAAGGTGTCCGCAGGGTTAGAGGACGCTGACCGTACGGAAATGCTCTGATAGGTCCTACAGCTGGAGGTAATGGCCTTGCGCGTTGAAAGAAGGCGCCACGCTGGAGCTAGGCTGAAAGTAGCGTGGCTACTCAGCCGAACGGCACCGCTGCGCGCCAGCTGCGCGGGGGGAGCGGCTGGAAGCGAGGCAATTGTGGTTTGCGCCATTGTAACCGAGGTCGAGCGAGAATGCGAGCTCCCGGTGAATAGGATGGCAGCAGCAATTGAAGTGAGCCGGGAGAGGTCGCGATAAAATGGGACACTAGTGTCGCTGTTGACTACTACAGACTGTCTCCTGTGTCTTGGAATTAGCTGACACGAATAATGTTGATGCGTGCACTGGCGTCCCTGGAATATGTCGCCAATTTTGCTGGAATTCTACCCCCTGAATGACCCAATTCTAGGCGCCTGGCAGGACTGTCTCGAGGGAGTGAAGTTGCGCTGAGCTTGCGAAACGCATTCACTCGAACGAACATGGTAACTTCTTTCGCAGTTGCCTGCTTGGCAGAAATCGGCAACTCGAAAGCAATCGGGCTCTTCACCGTCCGCCACGTGTTCAGAAAGCGGCGATTGTTGGAAGTAAACGCCGTCCGATTCATCACGTGGAGTAACATCCTGCCGTTTGTGACACCTGGCCGATATAACATCCCCCTCCAGACCAGCTCCACGGTACACTCACCTTCCTGTACCTGACACATTCATTTGAACTGATCAGCCCACAAAAAGATAGTCACTGCGGAAGGCCTACCGATTGTTCAATGCCGAATGTTTAACCCTGGCAGTCGAAATGTTCACCAGAAAATACCTGAATCTGTAGGAAGTTTTCCTTGTCTGAGACATTGCCGGATTGAGTTTCTTCGGTTGCTCCGAGCGAGGGTCTCTGATCGGCTCTTCTAGGTAGCTAGCGATCGTCATCATGACGACCTTGCAATGCCAAGCTTCTATGGTGTTAGTTGCTGCTTCTAGGATGAGCTTGCAAAGCATTCAGTCCAGCTGTTGCATTAGCAGGCATGCTGCACGGACAGCACCACTTCAGGCTCAGCCTCGAGCTGTCAGAACAATGTTGAGGAGGAGCACTGGCGCGAGGGCATCTTTTAGCGACGAAGGTGAGTATAACCCGACCGAATGCCTGAATCCAAAGTTCGCAGCTTTACCAACCAGAGTGAACAGTTGAACAGCATACACTTAAGATGATGTGCAGTCGAAAACTGGAATAGGGAAGTATTGGCCTCTGTGACTGGTCGCTTATAAGCTGCCCCTTGACATTCCCGTTTGCCCCGCGCATAGCATCTGTGCCAGGCGAAACGGTAGCACGGGAGGGAGACATGGTGAATGTGAGATTCGTGTGCAAGACACTGGATGGTGAGGTTCGTGCTCAAGCTCGTTTCCGTTTCCCTCATCGCAGTATGTTATCGTTAACGCTTTCACCAGAGCCTCATCATGATTGTGTAATGAACGCAGGTGCTTCATGCATCTGGCAATGATGATGTGTTGACCTTTGAAGTTGGTGCTGGGAACTTCGTTGGAAATCCTCTCTTCAAGGTGACATTCAATGAATCATTTCCTAAGGTCCAGCATCTAGGCAGTCACATCCGGAGGGTACTCAGGGTTGTTCGTGTTTACGTGACAACAGGGTTTTGATGAGGCCGTGAAAGGATTGGCAGTTGGCCAAAGCCGCACAGTACAGTCAGCACCAATGGCAAAGACTGATGAAATGATCTTCCGAGTACCCAAGGACCATGAGGAGATTGAGAGACTCACGAAAGAGCAAGGAGGAGTGCTCAAAGCGGGAGCTGTTGTTGTGCTTGCGAACGGCGGCCCTGCTGAAATTCTAGATGTGAGTTCTTTCTTCCACCAGCCCATAGTTATAATTTACCAGCCTTCAAATTTTCCACAGACCTAATTGCCACGGTTTTTGTGAGTTTTGACAATGAGCTGCTTTATTCTTTCTTGCAGGTTGGCAAGGACTTCGTTGTGATTGATGCAAACCATCCTCTGGCTGAGCAAATAATCGAATTCGAAGTGGAGCTGGTCTCCATCGGTGACTCACAGTGAGCACAGCATCCCTTAGATGCTGTGTGGGACATCTTGCAATGCTCATTGTTTCCTTCTTGGCCCACCAATACACATCTCAAGTTTAGTGAGGCAGTCCATCTGTGACTGTGAACCAGTCACACCAGTCCATTTGGCTGGCATTCAAGGGCATCAGGCCCATCAGCTGGCATTATCAGAATGGCAAAATTCCAGAAGCAGCTCTACTTAGACAACACACTAATGCTTCACAGATCAGGCTGTCAAACTGTGTTTGTAGATATGCTGGAGTGAGTTGCATGTCAGGGGATACAAAACCATCTCGACACCTTGCTTGTATTCCCCCCCTTGACCTTGTCTACCCATCCTCTCGCTACTCAAGTAGGTGAGTTCCTAACCTAGCCCCGAACCGCCCCGCCCCTTAGCACGTTGTCCCCCCCATCTCCTTGGCAGGCCGCGCCCTGTCCGTTCGCAGGCCCCAACCCTAGCCTGCCCTGTACTCGTCACGCCCCTTACCCGTCCGCGCCCCACCTTGCCCCTTACCCTCGCGTCGCGCAGACCGCTCGCGCCACTAGCTCGCATGATCGCATGCGCGCGCAGCCGCGTATACGCAGCAGCGCACGCGCACGTAGCTGCACGTGCGACAGCAGTACGAACAACAGCTGCGCGCTTGCAATTGTCTGCACGCAAGCTCGCCACGCGCGCACAACAGCGTCCACTCCACACTG